CAATATTTTATGAGCAAAAATGTGTGACTATATGTGTGTGCCAGTGTGTTTATATGTTTATGGGAGGGAGTGTGCGTGCTTGTTCCATGAAATGTAATCATTTTCCAGAGCTTATCTGCACCAGAACAGAACAAACATTGACGCCCTAATGCTACTGTTTACACCGCACGCAGGCCAACAAGGGAGAAGGGGGAAATGAGGAAGAAATAAAATATGGCTGGCTGGTTCATTGGCTGGCTGGATGCCTTTTAGGTTGGGGGTTGGAGGTGTTTGTGCTTGTGCCAATTTTTAGTTTTAGCTCTCTGCCAGAAGGGCTTTCATGATGAAGGGACGGACAGACGAACGAACGATGCCGCAATGTTCTTCTTCTGCTGGGTTCTCTTAGATTGTAGCCAACAAACAAACAACAACAAATCAACCCACATGCTTAAAGTAGGAATATCAGAAGAAGAAGCCTGTATTTTGTTGTTCTCGTTGATGTTGCTGTAAGCAAGCATAACGAACAAACGAAATAAATCATAAATCAAATCTTTATTATTCATGTTGATAACCTTGCTAAGCGCTTCCGTTTATGCCGAGTCAAACAATATAATTTTGGTCGAGCACGTTCACACCAAGCAGCCAACCAAGCAGCCAACCAAGCAGCCAACCAACCCAACGAACGAACGAAACTGAGATACCGAGTGTTGAAATGGGATATAGAATAGAATTCGAGGCATATGGCTGGGTTGTGGTTCGTATGATCATCATCATCATCACCATCGTCGTCGTCATCGTCATCATACGGCTTATGTAATGAATATAAATGGCAATGCCATATTCCGAACAGGCATAATCGTAATTTGTCATTAGCACGAAATAAATGGCACAAAATTATGTACATATGTGTGTGTGTGTGTGTGCGAGTGTATGTTTGTTGATGATGGCAGGGATGCATGTTTGGATATCTCCCTCGTTCAGTTGGGAGGTTCTTTGTGGTTCGCTCTCTTTCTATCTCTCTCACAGGGGATGAACCACTGAATATGGCTTGGCATCATTAGTATTTGATTTTGTTACCCTAATGTCAACTCTTTTCTTGCGTTTTTGTTAAAAATACCTATCACCCCTAGCAAATTTGAAATGTTGATGACATGTCCTGGCCCCTCACTCTCCCGCGTCTTGCATTTGTCAACAATGCGTAAACAGTATTTGTTTGTTTTCTTTTTTTTTCAATTTTTTTCCGAAATGTGTTATTGTTGTTATTTTTTTTTTTTTTTTGTATTTTTCTCGTTTGGAGTAAATTTTGTGACACAGCTGTTGTATTGTTGAGAATTTCCCATTGCAGATTAAACGACAGTTGCCTCCTAACAATAGTGGCATCACAGAGCCATGGGGAGAGAGTCATGCAGAATGAAAGAGTTTGCTGTGATTTCATTTGAGCCTGTTCTGGGAGAACTTGCACATGGTTTTATAAATTTTGTAGAAGGAAAATAGAAACAGGGGATATTTTAAAGTTGTTCTTGAATTATTGAGAGAAAGAGAGCAGTGATATTTTTTATCACAAAATGAAGAATAACATTTTTTTCATTGAAGAAAATTTAAGAATTTTTTGAAATTAAAAAAAATATATATTTGGAACAAAGTTTTTCGTACATTTGGAGTCTACTGAATTTTCAAATCTTCAATTTAAAGAAAATGAAAAAAAATTCTATGGAAATTAAAAAACTCTACAAATAACGACGACCTCTTATTTAAATTAAAAAAATATATATTCCCAAAACAGGAAAATTAAGTTCTTTATTTTTTTCTACCCTTCGCCTACCTTGCTACAGAGGATATACATCGTTTCATACAGAAAAATGTGCCTCATCGTAACAGCGACCCTAAGTCTCTTTGAATTAAATCCATTTCAGGACATTTGAAGTCGATCTAGGTGTGTCAGTGCGCCCGCCTATGCAGGGTGAGATAAAAAAACTGCAACAAAGTCAAACGTCATAATTTTTAATTTTTTTTTTAAAATTTTATTGAATGAAAGCAAAAAATGTCGGAAATAGAATCTAACTTTAGAATAGCATTAGATTTGTTCGATTTGGTCACCTTTTGCACGAATTATGCCCTTCAAACGACCAATGAAAGCGTCTAACGCTGCCCAAATGTTGCTTTGCGGTATTTTGGCCCATTCCCGGCGCAACGCTTGCCTTGCTATTTTTTAGTGCCAACCTTGTATTTTGGAAAATACTCCAGACACAATAGTCCAACGGATTGGTATCCGGAAATTTTGGTGGCCTGAAAATGAAGCAAGGAACCTCATTTTGTAACCATTCTTGGGTGGCGAGTGCTGAGTCCTGTTGGAATGTCCTAGGTCTGCGGCCAAAATGTTTGCGTGCCCAATGCTTTAATACACCCTCCAGAATATTTTCGCGATAATATTCGGCATTTATTTTGATGCCACGGTCAATTAATACGAGCAGAGAGCGACCATCGGCTGTTATGGCCGGCGCTTGAGTTCTGCGAAGCAGACTCTTTAGCTCTTTTGAGTCTATTTTCTTTCTGTTGCGGTGTAAGTTCTTACACTTTTTGGAAATTCAATGGCTTTACCCCGAGTCCATTTTTTAATATTTTCCGAATAGAATATTGCGATATGTTCAGTTCACGACCCATTTTTCGGCCACTGTGACGGGGTTTTCCATCAAGTCGTTTCTTTACTTTTCGTACCACTTCTGCTGATGTTGCTGTTTTCTTCCGTCCACTTCCTTGACGTCGGGCTACGCTACCAGTATCATGGTAACGAGCGATGGTACAAGACACAAAAGATTTATTCACATTTAAATGCTGAAGTGCTCTAAAGATAAACACTTGTGGTTCTCCAGCCGAATATAAAGAAATCACGCTTGAATTCCATCACGAATAACTTTTTTCCTGGAAATTTCTCACCAAAATGCTTTTGAAGGCTTGTAAACAATATAATGAGCTGTCACCGGAATAATTTTAACAACTGTCGGACGAGTGGCTTGGAAATGACAGCAGTCTGAAATTAGTTGCAGTTTCTTTTATCTCACCCTGTATATATAATAATAGAAATGCTTAGCATCAGCACATGAGAACAAAAATTTTATTATATCTCGAAATTCGGATCCTTTAAAAAATATTAAAAATTTAAAAAAAATTCCAAGAACAAAACATGTGTCTTATCTCAAAATTCGAATACTTCAAAAAAAGATATGAAAAAAATAGATATTAAAAAAATTCAAATTCAATTTTTATTTAAAATGTTCAATACAAAGGATTTCTTCAAATTTTTAAAGACAAAAATTTCTCCTTTTAAATTATTTTTTTTTTTCAAATCCGTTTTATTTTTCTTTCCCTAAAATTTCGTTTACTTCTCAGCCATAACTTAATAATAGAAATAATAAAATTATTGCATTGATAAAATTGAGAAATTCTATTGCTTTGATCTGCCGCCTCCTTTTCGATCCCTTGCAAATTTAAAGCTCAGCATTTAATAAATGTTCATGGCTCATTAAATGACTTCAAACGACATTTAAAATTGTTCAATTCAAATCTGAGAATCATTTTTTCCCAACTACAGCTAAGTGCTTACTAGGCACTAAACATGAAAAAATATTCCCCCTCCCAAAAAAACATCCAAGGAAAATTGAATTGACAGTGATTTGAAATCATTTGTTCTTCTTCGTTTTTTTTTTCAATTTTCTTTTATTTTGATTTTTCTTCTGTAAAATTCCCAGTTAACACAAATTGAAACAAAGACCCAACAAACGCCCCAATCTCTTGGTTATCGGCAAAAACCATTCATTTACACACAAACACACACACATTCGAACGTGGCCAGGACATGGAAGCAAATTGAAATCAAACAAATTGGGAAATCTTTGCCATAATGAAATCTGATACGCCTTATTTAATGCTCTTTTCTCGTCAAGCTATAGCGGCAACAACAATACCTACTCGAAATGTTGTTATAATGATTGCCACAAATATTACGCCCTACCCTCCGCTTCGCTCCATGCCTTCTCTGCCACTTTCGTTTTGATAACTCATCGGGTTCTGTTGGCAGGAGTTGCCTGCCCACAAATGAGTCCTCTTTCAAATACTTAAGGTTGGCGTGTGGCAACATGAAAAGGTTGGGGTGGCAACATGAAACCATTGTCATTAGTAGCGAGCCCTTCGACGTTGCTCTCCAGCCTTAGATTCCATTGAGCCACAAAAAAACAAGCTTTTGAAATCACAAGGGGAGAATACTTGTGGCCAAAATTCTGGGTTGGGGAGAGAGGCATTTGGCTGTTGCTGTGAACATAAATGCGTTCGTAAGCACTTTGCGGAATGTTAGCCGTCGTTTTCTACTCCCCTCCCAGCCAAAGCATAACAAACAAGGATAATGTGAGCTTGAATGTTTGAGGAGGGGGGAAACAAGGCAACGAGCAAACGAACGAATGCATGAATAAATAACAATCCTTAATGTATCCTTGTGCACTTGTTCCAACTGCGATAAGCGACCGAGGGTGACAGGCCGGATGCTGGATGGGTATGAGGTTTGTTTTTCTATTTGACAATATAATCGAGTCAATTTGCAGCTGCACGCCTTGGATAAACATTCGTCGTCCTCCACCCAACAGGGGTGGGATTGTATAACTTTATTAGAAAGCTGGCAGGCTGGATGAGCCTGCCGCTGGCTAAAAGAGCCTGGCATCCTTTCTTTGTGGGCGCGTGACTTTTAACACTTGTTCGTTGTTTAACAAACAACAACTATAATTTATTCATTGATATGGGACCCTGCGAAAGCCCAGTGCCAGAAGTGTTGGCATTTTACGCTTGGAAAACAAACCAGAAAAACATCAACAACAACGGCAGCGACAGCGTGTGTTATTGTTGTTGATGTTAAACAAACACAAATAAAGTTTTCGCTTTTTTTGGTCAAAATGGGGGGGAGTTGTTTTTGTAATTGTTGTGGGAAAATTTCCAGACATTTTAATAATTGAATTTTTTTCTTCGTTTCGTTACAGGTTTGGTTCAAAAATCGCCGTGCCAAGTGCCGTCAACAGTTGCAGCAGCAACAGCAATCCAACAGCTTAAGCAATTCCAAATCGGTTAATTCCGGTTCCGGTTCGTGTTCATCCTCCTCATCGTCACGCAATGCATCAAATAGTTCCGGCAGCAACTCGAACTCAACGAATTCCTCCTCGAAATCCAACAATCACCACTCCTCGTCCTCCTCCTCGTCGGCCGGTGGCAGCCACAGCCACAACAACAATGGCAACAAGAACTCGGCGAACTCGAACAATCCCAATGGACCCTCGGGCGGTGCTGGTTCGTCATCGGCAGCTGCTGCCGCTGCTGCTGCCGTGGCCCAGTCCATCAAATCGCATCACAGTTCCTTCCTCAACTCATCCAGCTCTGCCACCTCCGCCGTTACACCCACCAGTTCCGCCGGCAATTCGCATTTGCATCACATGAATGCCAACAGCCATGCGGCGGCGAATGCAGCAGCCAGTGCGGCTGGCCTTAATACATCGGGTGGTGGTGGTGGCGGTGCCGGCCATCACAACTCCTCGCCGTTGCTGCCCACACCTGCCACCTCCGTCAGTCCTGTGAGTATTGTGTGCAAAAAGGAACACATTGGCTCTAGCGGTTATCCTGTCTCCAATCCCGACATTTTAAGGGCTGCCTCCTATGACACGCTGAAAGAGTCAGGAGGTGATATCGGCAGCAGTGGCCACCACCACAGCATCTATGGTACAGCTGCCTCGGCAAATCCTCGCCTGCTGCAGCCCGGTGGCAATATCACTCCCATGGATTCGAATTCCAGCATTACCACACCCTCACCACCCATTACGCCCATGTCCCCGCAATCGGCAGCCGCCGCCCATGCTGCCCAATCAGCTCAGTCGGCCCATCACTCGGCAGCCCATTCCGCCGCCTACATGTCCAATCATGATTCCTACAATTTTTGGCACAATCAATATCAGCAGTATCCCAACAACTATGCCCAGGCGCCCAGCTACTACTCCCAAATGGAGTACTTTAGCAATCAGAATCAGGTGAACTACAACATGGGCCATTCCGGCTATTCGGCTGCCTCGAATTTCGGTCTGTCACCGAGTCCCTCATTCACGGGCACCGTATCAGCCCAGGCCTTCTCGCAGAACAGCCTAGACTACATGACGCCTCAGGACAAGTATGTAAATATGGTGTAGAATCTGCTGATGCAATATTGCGGCGGCAAATCGGATGAGGATGCCAATGGAATGGCCAGCAGTGAGCAGCACCGCATCAACTCGGATTATGCTTAGATTTGAAAAAACAGAAAACAAAAACAAACATATCGTGAAGAAAAGAGACAAAAAACAAAAACCATTTCCAGGGTCACCCAGCTTCAGGCAAGGGAAGTGTTTTGGGTCCTCCACATATCTGCAACGGAGAGGACCCCCCTCACCAAAATCATGTGTAAATATTTACAAAAACAAAAGTCCTAGATTTGAGTTATGTTTGAGTTTTTTTATTATTTTTTTTTTTTTTTTCAAAAGCCAATGTCAACGAAAAAACGAGTGATAATTAAGCAAACAAAAAACAACCACTTATATAAAACAAAAAGAAAAACAACAACTAAATAAGCTATGTATGTACTAATTAATTAAGAAAAAAACAACAAATCTTTAAAAAAATCAAACAAACACAACAATACTCAAGCCATTCTTGTCCTATGTTTAAAACATTGTTCTTTTAATTAAGAAATTCTTTTCAGTATTTCCCCATGCCAACAAAAACATTCCAAGGAACTGCAAATAACAGATTTCAAATTTCGAAAAAAAAGAAAAAAAAATATTTCACAAAATTATTCTTGGTTTTGGAAACTGAAAGAATTAAATTTATGTTTTCAAAATTGATTGATAATCTTGTAACAATTTTTAAAGCATTTCTCTAAAAAATATTTTTTTTCTACTTTAATTTAACAAAGAATCGTTTATGGCTTCTTAATTCCCTAACAAATTGACAAGTCATTATCGATCTATAAATCCCTACCCGCTTTCTCAGCAGAGAACCAAAAAAGTAACTTTCCACATCAACAAATATCATTCTCTCAGAGTTACTTCTCACTCTCTCTCTCCCTGCCACATTCAAATGAAACATGCGAGAGAAACATTATTCCTCTTTGATTGAACCCCTTCATATCACTATTATTAACACATCCTGGCAAAGGAAACAAAACCAACAAAATAGTTATAATAATTGTAAAATAATTAAAAAAAAAAACAATCATAAAACAAAATTGTGTAACATATTTAGTTAATAATGCAAACAAAAAATAAGACAGTTCAAATGGAGAAGAAAAAACAAAAAACCCAATAACGAAATTTAAAATCTAAACTAAAAATAACTTCAATGAATGTTTGTAAAAAAATTCTTAAATGTCTAACAAAGCAACAAAAAAAAGAAGAAGAGATAAACAAAAAATAGGAATTAGTAAATTTTATTTAGACGTTGTATAAAACAAAAACAAAATCAAACAATGATATATCCCTCCTCGCCGCCCCTGTAAACCTAAGCTAATATTAATTAATAATTGTCTTCTTGTCCCATACCTATTTCCTTATATCAATGAAAACGAATAACACAAAAACAAAAAAACATAGTTAATAATTAATTATAATAACAAAAAAAAAAAAAAAAACATAATCTGTGTACAAAAAAAAAAACAAAAACTCAATACTAAACAATTTATTAAATATCTAATTGCAAACTCACACACACACACCCACACACTTTTTTCACTTGCACTCATAGTTCCCCTTGTCATCGTCATCACCCTTCCCTCCCCCCTCAAAAGGTGTGTTGTGTTTTTCTGTTATATATACATATATTTTTTAACGATTTTATTTTTGATTCCTATATAGTTTTCAAATTCTGTGTAATAAAATTAAAGAAAAAAAACAAAATTCTCATTTTAGTTTCTAAGGCAACACCAACATGAAATCCAATATTATTTGTTTTAAACAATTGCATTATTATACTTTTTATATAAAGAAAATACATTTTCCTTTTAGTTAATAACTTCAACTCTCCTCCATAACACCCTTCTACCCCCCTCTCTTCCTCCCACCACGGGGAATGGGAGGTAGTCGAGGTGCTTGGTTATTTATGTTATAAGTTTAGAGGTCTCCAATTTTATTTACAAAATAACTCAACGATAATCACAATATCGAAGTTAAGTCAAATTTATTTTTATTATTATTATATAATTAAAAAAAAAATATGAAAAAAAAAACAATGAATGTAAAAACAAAACAAAAAAGTACCACTATATATAAATACACACACATATATATACATACATAAAAGGAAAAAAAATACAAAAAATATTAATAAAAAAATATATATCGAGACTTTTTATTTGGGAAGGTTTAGGATCATATACGGGCTGACAGAATTTAAATATTTGAATGGAAAATTTATTTTTTCTATAAATAATACTTTAATGGTAAAAATATGTTCCCCGCTTATAACTTCTAGGCTTAAAGAATGTCTGTTTACGAAAATATTAAAGAAACATTATATTTTATTACATCATTTCCTTATGGCCTCCTAATGTACAATTCCCATACCAATTATACCATTCTCTATATATCGAAGAGGAACGTCTATATAATGCGGAGGAGGTTAGTCGTAAAGGGAAATACAGACTTCATAAATTACATTAATAACTCCCAAATTAATTAATAGAAGTCGGAATAATACAACGGGCCGGTCAATTAAGGCAACTAAATGTCCTTCCCAAGTAAATAATAATTGAGGCAACGGAATTTTATTTTGAAAAATTTATTTTCCATAATATTTTCGAAATTGAAATAAAAATTATATTTAATTTAGGAACTATGGGTCATCTTTGAACGTCTCTTATTTTCTCTCTGCGTTCTTGTCATAAGGGATAGAGGTGTATAGTTCATAAACGAATTAGTTCTAGCTAGTGAAAATATTGATATAATCCAACAATTCGAGATATGTGATAATTTTCAGAAATTTACCAGATATAGTCGACCAAAGTATTCAATTTGCATACTTCATCTAATACAGATAATAATATTGGTATGGGAAAAATTACAAGAAAATCAAACATTTATATCTAATTTTATTCGAAATCATAAATTCCACATTAATTTCAAATTTTTTGTTGAGAGAAATATTTAGACATAGCAAGTTGTAAAGAATCGCTGACTTGTTCCGCAAGGTAACACAGATAAAACTATTGCAAATGTTGACCCTTTATTGGGGAGGTACCAGAAGGAGTGGACCGATATATCCCATCTTCACAGCAGATTTTGCGTTAGTAGAAATAATGGGATGTATGAAATGAGAAGAGAACCGGATGCTTATTTCGGATTTTATATAAATTTTGGTTATTAAAAACATTAACCCTTTTGTGGGAGAAATACCAGAAGGAATGTTCTGATCTATACCAACTTTATAACAGATCTTGTGTTGATAGAAATATTGAGATGTGGCAAGTCTGAATGGAATCGAATGTTTTATTAGCTACCTGGATATTCAAAATATTGACCCTTTATGGGGGAGATACTTGATGAAGTGGACCGATATTTTCCATTTTCGCACCTGACCTAGCACTTATGCAAATATTATGATTTGCGTTGTTGGAGCAAAGTCGGATTGTCCTTTCTCTTTCTGTGTAGTAAAATATTTTTTTGGACCTTTTGTGGGGAATGTACCCGAAAGAGCAGACCGATATTGCCCATCTCCGAACTTGATCTAAATTTGATAATGGTATTAAAATGTACCATCGGATACTCCCTTTCAGAGTTATAGTCTGAATGAAATCGGATGTTAATTTCGAGCTTCATGGATATACAAAATATTGAATATTATATGGGAGAGTTGCCAGAAGGAGTGGACCGATATACTCCATGTTAGCACCAGTCCTTGGTTTAATAAAAATATTTGGATGCGTGAAATTCGAAGACTATCGGACTCTTACATCACATTTAATAAGAGTTATAATTATTCAAAATTTTGACCCTTTGTGGTAAAGTACTGATAAAGTATTTGATAAAATAGACAGATATTGTCCAATTTCACACCTGATCTCGCACTGATGCATATATTAGGATTTGTTAATTTCGCGTTCGGATCGAATGTTAAATTGGCGTTTTATTAGCTACCTGGATATTCAAAATGTTGACCCTTTATGGGGGAGATACTTGATGAAGTGGACCGATATTTTCCATTTTCGCACCTGACCTAGCACTAACGCAAGTATTATGATTTGCGATGTTATAGCAAAATCGGATTATCCTTTCTCTTTATGTGCAGTAAAATGTTTTTTTGAAAATTTTGAGTTTTTGAAGGGGAGTTTCCAGAAGTTTGATAATAGTATTACGATGTACCAAGTTTGGTTCAAATAGGATAATCCCTTCTAGAGTTATCGTGCGTACCTATTAGACAGACAGACGGACGGACTAGATTGACTCCAAATGTTTTGAAATGTCCTTTAATTCGTGATCAGCAAAGATTCTATGTCTATTAAGCCATGTTTGTCCGTCTGTGAAATCACTCTTAGGAGTGACCACTCTTGGATGGCGAGTGTTGAGTGCGATGGTCTGCGGTCAAAATGTTTGCGTGCCAAAGGCTTTAATACACCTTCCAGAATATTTTCCCGATAATATTCGGCATTTATTCTGATGATTAATAAGAGGGGAGAGCGATCATCGGCTGTTATGGCGGCCCACACCATCACCATGGCCGGCGCTTGAGTTCTGGTAGCCAACCGAAGGTGCACATTTCAGCTGATCTCTTTGGCAAGTAAACACGATCATTTTGTTTGTTTACAAACTGCTAAACAACGAATGTTTTCTCATCGGAGAAAACCAATTCGACAGTTCACCACTTTTGGCCAAGCGAAGCAACTCTTTAACTCTTTGGAGTCTATTTTCTTTCTTCTGCGGTGTAAGTTCTTGCACTTTTTGGAATTTCAATGACTTTACCCCGAGCTCATTTTTCAATATTTGCCGAATGGAATATTGCGATATGTTCAGCTCACGAGCCATTTTTCGGCCACTGTGACGCGGGTTTCGATCAAGTCGATTCTACTTTTCGAACCATTTTTGCTGATGTTGCTGTTTTTTTCCGTCCACTTCCTTGACGTTGGGCTGCGCTACCAGTATCACGGTAACGGTTGATGGTATGAGACAAAAAGATTTATTCACATTTAAATGCTGGAGTGCTCTAACGACAGCTACTTGTGGTTGTCCAGCCAAATATAAAGAAATCACACTATCACGCTTGAATTCCATCACGATTAACTTTTTTTCTGGAAAATTCTCACCAAAACGCTTTTGTGAGCTTGTAAGCAATATAATGAGCTATCACCGGAAAAATTTTAACAGCTGTCGGACGAGTGGCTTAGAAATGACAGCAGTCTGAAGTTGGTTGCAGTTTTTTCATCTTACCCTGTACTTATTAAGTTTCATCTGACTTAACTTTGCTTGGCTTAACAGTTTTGTCGGCTTTATATGATGTTTCGCATAAACATTGATTATCAGTCGAACATAAAATTGTGAAGAAATAATAAATCGGAACTATATTCCAATATAAATATATTTTTAATTTTAAAAGAATTAGTCCTTGAATCCTTTCTTGAAAACAGGCTATAATTTAAAATAGAGGTTTTTAAGTTATCAATTTTATTAAATAATTATTTGTCAATTCTATGTGGCCATGTGGACGAATCTTGAAGAGAAGACTTCCAATATTTCTTTCCGTTGTTTTTTAATATTTTTGGATATTATTCCTTGATGTACTATTTATTTTAAAGCTTAACTTTATAATCATCGCTAGATTTAAAAGTCATACAAAAGTTATTTCATCGCGTTTTATTGTTTTTTTAGTGGTCTGATCAAATATTTATGATTTGATGTTTCATTCAAAAACTCCAATTTTAGAAAATGCAAAACCATCACCCCCTCCCCACCACATCTTCCCACGGTGGCAATTGAGTTAAAATAATGAAAGTTATTTAAATTCAAATAAATTGAAAACCTGGGAGGCTGTGAATGGAAGAGGGCGCGTGCCGCTTATAGAATTACCAACTAATTTCATATTTATGAGGCTTCGACTTTTGCTGTCGCCCTTTTGCCTCATTGGCGGGTGGGTGAGTGAGCTGTTGGTCGGTTGGAATGATGTGCGTGCCAGTGTTCGATGACAATATTTTGTTTAGCAGCGTGACCCACAAGTTGCTCGAGAAGATAACCAATTTCCAAACAACTCCCCATGCTGCAGCATGCTCAGCAAATTGGTTCTAATCTCTGACCAAGAAACCACGCCTGGGAAGTGGTAATCAACGGCGGAACGTCATCGTCAAATGGCACACCAAGTGCTACTTTACACTCACTCACCCACTAGCCGATATTGATGGTATCTGGCGAACG